ATACAAGGGTTACTCTGCACATATCCTAACACCCATGGTCATATGATCAAAACTAAGACCTTTGATTCATATTTATGATGGTTGCAGTGTCCCGGGGTCATGTGATCACATTTTGCAACCTTCTGATGAGCAAAGTCAATGGGAAGGCCACTTTGACTTTACAGCTGTGTTGGTAACAATAACTCTAAGGAATTCACAACAACTGTGGCAAGCAAAGTCATTAAATGGGACAAAACTCACTTAGCAACTGTCTTATTAACAGAATAACAGAATTGGAAGAGACCTTGGAAGTCATCTAGTCCAACCCCCTGCTCAAGCAGAAGATTCTTATCATTTAGCAACAAAAATAATGGGTTCAATTGTCATCATAAGTCGAGGACTATCTGTGTACTCCAGAGAATATCCCCAATTTTTATTTACTTTAAACAGAAATGAGAACTTGTGTCTAAGGTAAATTGTCTCATCTTTAGAATAGATCCGACACATTTCAAATACTGAGTCCCACACAGTTTCTTCTTTTAATGCCTTCTTCTATAAAGATTGTTATCCAATAATGCTGTGTTCTTTTGATGTTTCTCTCCAAGCCATTGCCTTTCTGTCAAAACACAAACATGTTTTTTCAGCAAGGATGTGTGTTGTTTCTTTCTCCCACACATGTTCTACGTTTTTCTTGAACTTTTCCTTGCATAATTAAGTGTAGTTGGTGTTTCTTGTTGGATAGCATGTGTCATAAGCATTCTAATTTCCTTTTCTTGTTGGTATTCACAAGCATATTCTTTCTCTCATTTCATAGATGTTTGACTCATATTTTAAGTATTCTGTAAATCTGCATTTCAAAGGCATCTATACTACTAATTGTCATTTGAGTCATTATTCATCTTCCATTCCATATGGAAGAATTTGCCATACATGACAACTTCTGACTAGCGAAGCTCCAGTTCCAGAGCAAACAAGTTTACTCATTCTTGAAAAGCTACTCTCACTTGTTCATCCTGCTCTTTCTGTCCATGCTACAATCCCATCTATCATTCAATATGCAGCCCAGATATATATATATATATCGTCGTATCTTTTGCCCTTGTCTTCCTGGAGGCATTTTTGCTAACAGAACAGTGCTATTAGTGTAACATAATTATTTATTATTACACCATAGATGTTTATACTTTCTTGGCATTTTTCTAAAAAATTTTTTGAAAATAACTCCAGAATATATATTAAATAAAAGGAGAGATGATACATATACTAATGGACAGAAAGCAATCTCCTATTCCCCCAAATAATCAAAATCCTACCAAAATAAATGCTTTTCTGATGCAATATTGCCCTCCAAATTGAAGTTCCTCTCTCTCAAACAAACAGTAATATGGCCCTGTGTGTGTGTGTGTGTGTGTGTGTAAATGTCCATCTCTGTATATGTTCTTTGCCAAGGATTTCTCTTAGATTCTGGAAAAGTGGCTGTCCCAGTGATATCCAACAGATACCATATGGATGGTGAGTCATACATCACTTTTAGAAATTAGCACAAATTATAGAAATCTTCAATATGTCTCACTGATTTACTGTACTAAAGATTGGAAGTTTCTTGGACACATGCAGTTAGCAAGCTACGCTTAAAAAAAGCAGGCTGGCACTGCCTCCAAGTGGCAAGAAAAAACATCTAAAGGGAACCGCCAATCTTTGAGTCCCATTATTTTACAGCTGTTCCCATCAGTTGCTATTATTCATGCATCTCTTCCACTGTCCCTAAGCATTGATCATCTTTCCATATTCGAAATGCAAAGGTTATACCTATCACGTGACAATGCCTTCGTATACCATGTGACAATATGAGCACCAAAAAAAGGCAGGGTATTTGAATATTTGACACCTTATTTCTGAAAATAATAAAGGCAGGGTAGAAATAAATAAATGAATTGAAACCAAAAGGGACCAACAAACAACTGTGAAAGACTGCTGTACATTAAGTTGGTTTGATCATATAATGAAAATGGAAAGAAAAATGAAAGCAAAGACGGAAGAAGTGGCTATATGGAGGTGGTAAGATCATCAAAAAGATGTTTACAGAGATGAAATGAAAGATAAGGACGAGATAGAGTACAATAAAATATGGGATAAATTTTATCAACGGTGGGAATAAAGGATCTGAAATCAAAAGAGAATAGGGATGGCAGAATAGATGACTAAAACTGGGAAATACCATAGAAATGTATAGCTGTATAAATGTATTTAAAGTATTATTTTATGCCATAATAGACACAATAAACAACTAAACACAAGTTTTTTCCCAAATGTGCTAAACAAATAATTCCCTCAACACTGTCCAACTATTTATAATCTGCACTGTTACTATTAATCTTCCCATCACTCCTTATCACCCGCCCCTCCTACTTGTGTCGCTTGTATCCTTACGATTTATACTGTTTCCTAGTATGATTTGATTGCTTATTGTACCCTATGACTATTATGAAGTGTTGTACCTGATGATTCTTGACTCTTGACTCTTTTATGCGCACTAGAGCATTTGCACCAAGACAAATTCCTTGTGTGTCCAATCACACTTGGCCAATAAAGAATTCTGTTCTGTTCTATTCTATTTTATTGTGTATGTGTGACAACAAGGATTGTTGGGATGATTATACCATGTCCAATGTTTTTAATAATTTACTTAATAAATTTTTGTATAAAAAAAATATTTAGAGGAAAAAACAGTGTATGGAAATGGTGAAGGTGAGGATTTGCAGATAGAAAAATAAGGAGAGGGATAGTGTTTTTCATTTGATGTGTATCCCATCTTTATCATTTTTACAAATACCTCACGGTGACAAACATATCCAACATGCCTTCCTCCTCCTATTTTCCCCACAATAACCTTGGGAGGTGGGTTGGGCTCAGAGTCACCTAAATGGCTTTCATGGCTAAAGCAGGACTTTCTCCTACTTTCTAGCCTGGTGCCTTAATCACCAGACCAAACTTATCTCGGACATTCAATTTTGGTGGGGGGTTACTGTTCTTACTCTATTTCATAATGTTGTTGATTCCCAAAATAATTTGAAGAGTGGGTGTAAATGTATGAATGTAGAAGAGAAAGACTCGTGGCCTTGAGGCTTTGTCACTCATATCCTCTTCCTATTGTTCAGTGGCTTCTTCATGACACAATGAACATCATTTTTCCAGATTGTCAATAGCTGCTTCCCTGAGGCTTTAAGCTCACACTTGTTTGTCTCCACCAGTGATGACATTAGGCATCTTGTCTCCTGTCAATCGTCTCCAGTTTTTCAAACCACTGGAGCCTTCTGCAGTGATTTGTGCCTTTGTGTCCAAGGTAGCTAATTTTTTGCTTCGTTACTGTTTCCAGTGAGCAGTCAGATTCTGATCTAATCTAAAATAACATTTTAGTTGGATATTCCACATAATATTTGGAAGGGGGAATAAGAAAAAAAAGCAATTAAAAAATATTTCATTAGTATATGCCAAGTAGCCAATTATCTTATATTTTATTGTCTGTGGAAAGTTATCACTATATATTAAAAAAAACAAACGTCTGGCTGTTGAATAACGTGCTAGTGAGCAAATTTCAATGAACAAACGAGATACACATGAAATGGAGGGCAAAAAAATATTTTAATTTCATGTAATGCAAATTACATTGCCTTTAATATTATTGTTCCCAATACATTTACTTTTTTCTTCTTTCATACCAAATATTACAGTCCAATAGCAACTTAGGATTCTGGAGTCATACTTAAAGCTTTCAGAGACTGTGCACAGCACTAACAAGACGTTTTACACCCATGTTTTAAGATATAGGCAAGCAAACTGTAACTCATAAACCTCAGGCCTAGAGTAATGCTTATGAAAAATGTTATCTTCTTGTATTATTTATCTATTTACCAGGTTTTTAACCCACCTTTATTATTTTATAACAGGGGTGTCAAATTCATGTTGTCACGGTGGCATCACATGACATATTGGGACTTCCCCCCCTTTGTTAAAATGGGCGTGGACATGACCAGCGCATGATGCATCCAGCCCGCGGGCCAGGAGTTTGACAGCCCTACTTTATAAGTAATTCAAGGCAGTGAACATACCTCATTATTCTTCCTCCTCCTCTTTTCCACAAGACGTCCCCTGTGATGACCATCATGCCACACAAATGGCAGCAGACAACCTGCAATCTGATCTCTGTCAGCCTGCTGGGGTCCTGTTGAAAATGTTGGTGTCCTGCTGCTCAGAGCAACAAGAAACTAATGATCCACAGTGGGCTGCCAGGGGTAGAACGGGAAAGATATACATGGAACTCTAACAAGAATCAGCATATGGACAAATGATCCCCGTCAGAAGGTCTCCTGACATAATGTCCCAGAAAGAGTTGAAGGGGAAAGAGGTTTGGTATGCCAAGGCCCCAGTGAATTGGGAGCTGATCCTGAATCTGACCAATTTTTGCTGTTTACACAGGTCTATTACACGCTTGGTTGCTCTATAGACAGACCAATTTTAATGGCCCAGTATGTTGACTGAACCCAAGCCATTTGGTTAATTTACAGTTCAGTGCATTAAAAAAATAAGTTGATTCAGAAATGTTCTTGTGGAAAAAGCTTCCTTATGCAAAAATATGGCCAAGTGAGGAAAAGGCCGTTTAAAAATTTAACTAACATGGATATCTTGAATCAAAAATACTACTACATATTCCATGAAAGATAGAAAAAAAAATCTTACCTGTCTTTCATGGAATATGTAGTACTCCTTTCAGAGAAAATCCTACAAATTGAGACCAGGCAGGCTAGAACACATCATCTATTACAGAAAGACAAAAAACTTTTAACAGCAAAAGCCAGAGCACAGATTTCTGATGCTATGACCAAATTTATTAAAAACAGCTAAGAGAAATCAGAAACACTTGGGAATTACTGTCACCTCTTAAGTCTTTCAGGAACACCCCCCCCCTTCTTCATATCTAGCTCAAAGCTAGAAAAATGAAGCCACAAATAGGCAGCCCCTGAGTCCTTAATAAAAATCCGATCCATGTAGAAATCATCCTCCATATCTTTAGAATCGTCCATATGGCAGCATCTACAAGAAAAGGAACTAGATATTTTTAGGTCTTTATGGCTGTATCCCGAGATTTGTAGACCACTCCACGGCTCTTCAATTCCCGTATGATGCCTGCAAAAAACAAAAATATCTATTAATTTAATGGACTAGGATGAAGTACAGCTAAACCTTGCTTACCACCCACTTTCTCAGTGACCATTCAAAATTACAGTGGTGCTAAAAAAGGAGACCCATGATTGGTCCTTGAAGCTGCGGTGTTCACAGTATCCTTGGCTCAACAGTAAACAGGGCACAAATTTCTATTGCAATTGTTGGATTTTTTAGAAATGAGAAAAGATCTCCAAATCCTAGTCCTCCTGAAGAGGATCCTGTAGATCTGAGGTCCCCAACCATCGGACCCGTGGCCTGTTTGGAACCCGGCTGTGGCCCATTTGGAACTGGGCTGCATCAATAGCAGTCCAGCGCATGTGCATGGGCAGTTTGACTTGCGCAAACAGTAGGCTGGTGCTTGCACATGCTGCTCAATTTGCACAAGTAGTGGGCAGGCACACACTTGGACGCAGCTCAACTTGCATTGAGTGGTGGGCCAGTGCACACCCATACACACCTGCCAGCCCACGGCTTGCACAGCCCAGTTCCCTTCTCCACCCCTAGGCTGCCAAGCTATACAGGTTGGGGATCGCTGCTATAGATTACCTTGGGGCAGACGGCCAGTCACTGACACAGCATACACGCCAGGCTTGAAATTACCTAAGAAAACAGAAACAAATGCGAATTATGACCGCTGAGGATTGCAGCGCAAAATAATACTTTTATTTGTTTGTACCCCACATTATTTTTACAAATAATTCAAGGCAGAGAATATATCCAACACACCTTCCTCCTCCTGTTTTCCCCACAACAACCCTGGGAGGTAGGTTGGGTTATAAGAGTGTGATTGGCCCAAAGTCACCCAGCTGGCTTTTATGATTACAGCAGGATTTGAACTCAGGATCTTCTCTTAATAAATGGCTTAAATAATATAACTTTCAGGAAGGATGTCCATATCATGCGCTCACTTTCTCAGTCTAAGTTACTTTAATCAGTTGTCAGAAAGTTTTTTAAAATATTTTTCGTGTTGTTATAAAATGCACTGTATTATTTTGATACTTGTAGAGCACAGTATTGACTGAAGATAATTAACACTCTAATGTTTACATAAATGTAGACAACTGAGGATAAAAAAAATATATACCAATATTGATTACAAACTGAAATATCAATATTAATGAACATAAAATTATTTACCTATTTCATTTGGAATTGATTATTAACATTTAAAAACTGCTTCAAAATGTTCAAAGTATTTGCTGAACAGTAAAACAGAACAAATTGTGGTCATAAGCTGTTCAGCTAGCATTAAGGTTACCACTGTGTTGTTACTTAATGTTTTGGTGCATGTTGATAAGGCAAAAAGCAAAGCAAGCTTGAAAATGACAGAAATACCAGAATGTTAAAAACGAGACTATTCAATTTCTAACTTACTCCTTTTTGTGCATCTGCTAATTAACATATTTATAAACAATTGGCATTCTTAAAAGTCACATTACAAATGCTTATATTTACCATGCTGCATGATATGTGGGGAAATCAAATTCAATCAAATTTGGTTAAACTTCTATTGTGTATACATACTGTTAATTTTGCCATTGCTGTAGTTTAAGTTCTCAATTACCATAGCTATTATTGGAATTATATTTTTCTTCAAGTATTGAGCAATATTTATTCTTGCTGTTGTGACCATGTCATTAAATTACATTCCTTGTACAGAGTTAAATGTTAAATAAAGCCATAAAAAAGTTCAAAATTGAACAAGGGTGTTAAGCTTCAGATTTATGTTTAATTTAAAAACATTTCAGGATTGTTTCAGGTGTAAATACAATTCAGAGACTGAAAATAATTATATCAATTAACTAGTATCTGAATTATCCTGAGGTCCCCAGAACAAATACACATGCAAATAATGTGTCTACTATCTCTTTTTCAAATAATTTCATCACTATATTTCCCAATGGATATTTAACCTTCAAATGTTCATTTAAAACTTTTGAGCTGATAGTGCCAAGTTCAAAGAAATCAATAAGAATAACACTAGAAATGTCCCTTCAAAAATGTAACTATGAATCTCCCCAGATTTGAATTTTTCTCTCACAGCTGGAGCATATACCATGAGCTGATGCTTCACTCCTGGGCCATAATGATGTTTTGTTAACTGTTACGTTGTTGTAAAGAAATTCTTACAAGACAAAATTGCTAGCAAATTTCAGCTCCTGAAATTTTCAACTCTGCCGTCAGCATGGGAGGAACCCCTCTTGCAGAAAGCTTCTAACACTGAAAAACATCAATAAGGTGACCTACATGTTCCTGTAGACAGAAATTTCCCTTTCAGTAATCTATTACTTGTCTTTAATTTATTCATCAATTTTCTCATTTGTTTAATACAACTTAATTATATAATTAAATATAAGGTAGATGAAAACTTACTGATCCGTTGCCATTTGGAGACCCAGCTGTCCTCGGGACTCATCATTGCAATAATGCTGCAAGAAGACAAGAAAAGTCAGACAACTGAAAAAGGTCACTAAAGGGGGACAAGAAAACGAGACAAGAGTAAGCAGAAGATCCTGGATGCTGGATCAGGACCTCTGACCAATTGCCAATCCTAAGATCCTTCTTAGTTAACTGAGGAGCTACCGGAAGGAAAACTCCCAAACAAAGCAGACACAACTGTGTATTGCAGTAAGAGTTCACAACTGAATTTACAATGAGACTATCGAAGCGACAATTATTCTCTGTACCTATTGTATCTACAAATTCTTGCATAGCAGACTTGTTAAAAATTATGTGGAAGCCTTTTAGAGAAAAAAAATGGGTGCAACTGAACACCTGCAGACATGCAGGATGAGTGAACCAACCAAATATCCAGGTTTCATGGCAAACAACATCTCTTGTATCTGCTGTCTACTGTAATAAGCAAAGTAATGTTTTCTGCTGTAATCTGGAATTCTTTTGATCTTACGGAGTGATGGTTGAGTCTTCTGTAGTAGTCTGAACTCTGTCACCTGTCTGTCCTTTTGGATTCCTCGCATAGCTATACAGGGCATAATAGCTGGCTCCCTGAGAAAATCAATGGTTCTCTGACAAAGCATGTAGTAATACATGCTTTAAAAGAAGTGTGGGTGCAGTTTCCTACTTTCTCTTCCCAGTAAAGATTACAAGAAGGTATTAAGGAAGCAGCTACAAAAGATTCTGGACAAAATCAATTATTTGGAAACCCTCCTTTACGCCTAGATATCCAGATTATATGCTCTTTCCTGGATTTTTGGAGAACTACAAAATATGGTCTTCCAAAAGGTATATGAGGATGTGTAAAATGGTAGTTTGGTTTACAATAATACCGCAGTACTCGACTGCTTCAAAGCTTGTCAAATTTGATACTTGGTGCATTTTGACATGAAAATGTTGTCCCAGTAGTCATTGGTTGGTACTTGATGTGCTGCAACAGGAAAAAGGGATGGTCATGGAAAATGGACAGGAAGTCAGCATAGGAAACAGGGTCATGTGGAAAGTCATATGGTTTGTTTGACACGCGTCATTTTTAGTACTTGTCCTGCCTTGAGGAACCAATTAATGATGAGTGCTGAGGTACCACTTGTAGTTATTAAGGCATCAGGCTAGAAACAGGAGACCGAGAGTTCTAGTCCCACTCTAAGCATAAAGCCAGCTGGGTGGCCTTGGGTTAGTCACTTTGTCTCAGTCCTAGAAAGAGGCAATAGCAAACTATTTCTGCATACCTTTGCAAGAAAAGTACAGGGACGTATCCAGGAAGCCTCAGACACAATTGAATGGAAGAAAAAGAAATGGGAGTGCATTGGACTGACTGCTTATACTTATCTGGACTGATGCTTACTCAGTTTTTACTGTAAATGGCTCAGTCTTCAGGAATTATTGTTTTGCAAAAAGAGCCATCTGGTTTATTTTTTTAGGGTTTTATTCTTTTGTTATTTTACTGTACTGCTGCATTTTTTTAAATTTTATGCTGATTTTACTGCTAGTATTAATATTTAAAATATTTTTGTTTATTGTGTGAACTGCCAGAAATTGATTGCAGTGGGTTTTAATGAAATAAATAAATGTAACATTTAAGTTATACATCTTATCAAGGATTTGCTTTCTTATTGGTAACATCATGCTCCATAATGGTTGTATTAATTCAAAATCTATGTAAATAACTGCCTCTATTTAATTCTCATGAATCCAGTCACACTTTTCCTATAAGCCAAGAATGGATAACTTACAAACCACAGACACCATCACTCTTTTTAAGGTCTGAACCCTCTTCCTTCAGAGAAGATCGTGCTTCTGAAATTTGGTGACAAACTGCCAGTGCTATCATTTTTTGAATTCTTACTTTTCCCAAATAAGAAGGTGTCTAATAATATACTGTTCATTTACCGACCGACAATTGGGACCAACAACTTGGTAGTTAAATGAAGCAGTCGCTAAGTGAAACTACAACTTTGCTGAACATCTTTCTTTATCTTTCCTTACCTCTGCAGACCTGCAAAGGTCATAAGGAGGATGAGGATGGTTGCAAAGTTCTTTTTTCATCACCATTGTTAACTGTAAGGCAGTTGCTAAATGAAGACTCTCTGTTATAATAATACACAAAACACTGAATGTGAAAGATTAACTATCCCACTGAGGATTCTGCACAATTGCAAATTCAGTCACTAAATGAAGAGTATTTATTTTGCATCTGAGTTTGATTGCTAGAAACTATAGTCGAAATATAGCTTGGGGAACAGCAATTCTGCATTTTCTAGCTGCTGTATTTAAGTCACAACTAATTTAAAATTATACAAATAAGATTCAAGGGGTATTATGTTTGCAAAGGTATAGCCAGCAACAAAATGAATAATTTGCAGAATATTACTGGCACATAATCTAAAATCATTTATTTAGTAACCTTCCATTGCTGGAGAATTAAACAATACTCTGTTTAATTTTGCCTAGTAAAGACTAGATGTGTGCATCTTTTTAGCAGTCAAGGGTTTTAAATTTTGTTAAGGTGGTTGACAGCTATGAAATGGGTGGATCAGACCATGCAAATTGAAAAAACTTGGTTTCTGAGTACTTATCTTTTACATTATTACAACATCAGGTTGGAAGATCGGTAAACAAGCTTTTAAAAAATATATCAGTTGTGTATTTTTTTGAAAAGGAAAAGTTCTGCTAAAGACTATTATCTCACCAATTTATCAAATGATAATTATAACTAGTATCAGCAAAAGAATGCTGGGTTTCAGTATATATCTCACTCTCAAGACTTACCTCAAAACAACCCTGACTGTTATGTGGGAAACTGACACAAGGCTACTTACCCATCGAAAGAAGAACTGGTACAATCATAAACCATCTCACGGTTCCCCTTCATCTGGAGATAGGAGTCACAGTTGTCACAACCATCAAACTCAAACTGGTCAATAGTCTGATGAAGAAGAAAAAAGTTATAACAGAAAAATCAGAAGTACTGTTACTAAAGGGCAAGCAAATTTAAATTGGGAGCATCTCCTAAGGTTCCAAAGAATCTTTTTTTTTTTTACAATTCTTAGCTCAATAATCAAAAATACATTTGCTGCAATTAATTGCAAAAATTGCTTTCCACAAATAAACTTCATATTTATATTAAAAGCATACCTCCCAATTTCTCCTTACATTTAAATCTTCAGCATGCTTTTCCTTTGCACCCCCTTCCTGTTTTATAACTAAGTCAACAATACAATAAGTTGCCACAGAGATTTTTTCAGTACAGTTGTTACATTTGTTTCCTAACTTTCCTCTCAGATACTAATAAACAACTTCCTCCCATTTTCATTTTGAATAAACACAGTTGTTGGGAGAGACTAAAAATAATGACTAGTCAATTAGTACAACAAATAAGTAAAAATCTGAAGTCAAAGCTTTGCAAAAGTCATTGCAAAAATTTAAGTCTTTTTAAATTAAAAGAGAAAAAGATTTACTATTATAGTGGGCACATATTAAAATGGCTTTTAAAATGAAACATGATACAAAGAAATTGAAGTTGTTTCCTTCTTCACGTTTAATACTGAGACAAGCCATGCACTGAAGTTTGAGATGGACAAGAGTAAATACAACTTATAAGGATAAAAACAGCTCATGAAGGATGTGTAACAACGTTCTTAACCATGGTGGTTCTATGAAACCTCAAAAGCAAATTATGTCTGAATAGTAGTATTTAGAGTATGTCTACCACTCTTTAACATGTGGTTTATTAGATTTACATATGTCATTCAATTAGGTAGCAGCACTTAATCAACATTAGCTTGAATTGGAAAAAGCTGAACTGGTTAACACTTGGCTGGGAGACCACCAGGAAACTCCAGCATTATAGGCTAGTTTATTTTTTTTCTATAAAAAGGCAATGGCAAACCATTTCTACATTGTTGCTAAGAAAAGTTTAACATGGTGGGAGTTACCTTTATCTATTCAGATCTATGTTCAAATTGGTTGAACAAACTATGCCTTCTACATAAATAATTGCTGTATAGAACATATATTAGAGGAAGGCTTTATGAAGGCTCCCAAATACAAATGTGGCTTGTTCGGTGGAACTCAGGGTGTTTTTTAAAATCATTTCAGCTTACAATCCAATTTGTTACATATATTATCCCAAATGACAAATATCAGTAAAAACACAATTACACATATCTGCAAGTAACAAAGAGCAACCAGGGTAAAGCGATTACAAAGCTAAACACATTCAACTGTATTAAAAGTAAGCAAGCTAAAATTCTAGGAAATAATTTTAGAAAGTATTTACTGAATGGGAGAAAGGGAAGAAGAAAAAAAGAGAACTCCTGTTTGTCAACCTGTCTGAGAAACAAGGTCTGAAGTGTGGGAAGACTGCCATATATGCCCAGAAATTGCTGGAACTACCTCGGACACGTTATAGGAAGACAAAAAGACTCTAAGGAAGGATGGAAGGCAAGAGAAGAGGAAGACACAAGGTGGATGAAGTCAGTAACAGTGGCAATGGGTGTGCCATTTAATGACCAGATTTGGGACAGATCATCATGGAGAAAATCTGGGTTGTCAAAAACCACTTGATGGCACATAATCGACTGCTGGAACGGAGAGAAAAGCAACAAGAAATTCCTGGTCTGTTGGGTGGGACTGTCACCGACTATGTCACGCCAGGGACAGCCTCCTTCTCACAATCGGACATTTCAAGAGACAACACCATAGAGACAAACAAAATGTTGGACTAGGACAGGGGTCTCCAACCTTGGCAACTTTAAACCTGGAGGACTTCAACTCCCAGAATTCCCCAGCCAGCAAAGCCCAGTATTAAAACAAAGCTGGCTGGGGAATTTTGGGAGCTGAAGTCCTCCAGGCTTAAGGTTGCCAAGGTTGGAGTCCTGGACTAGGAAACCCGTCCCCGACACCACAACCATTGGACGCAGTACCATTCCAACTAGGATAAAGAAAAAGAGAGAGGAATTCCCGCTTCGCTAAACAGAAGGCACACCTTGACCAATGAGCACAGCAAGCAAGCCCTCAAGTGCCGCAGATCCTTAGGTACCGTTTCCAATGCCATGATCACCACCAACCGGCAGCATACACCTAAGGGAAGAAAGCAGATCGCCAACACACGTCACTTCCCTCGCCGAAAGGCTTTCCACTATAGTACTCTGTGCCGCTCTGGGAGTCTCCTCGTTGCATCCCTGAGAGACGCATGCGTACAACTGTGTGCAACGAACTGGCGTCATTCAGCAATGGCGCGTTGCCTGATTCGATGCTGTTTGTACGCAAGCGCCTAATTGCGCAGAAACTCCGCCTCTAGAAACCGAGCGATAGTTTTAGAGATTGTAGTCACGCGAGGTTTGGAGAAGGGAAAGGATCTTGGCGCCAAAATCGAACCTCCCCTTACAGTTATTTACGGAATAATCTAATCCTTTTTGCCTCCGGCGAGTGTACCCAAGGATTGAATTGTTCTGAAATGATATAGGACAGGTTCTCCTGCTTGAGCAGGGGGTGGACTAGAAGACCTCCAAGGTCCCTTCCAGCTCTATTCTATTCTAAATATTTTATTAATTCTATTTCGTGTGTCACTTAAATGATTCGAAATTAACTTTGGTATTAGGTAACCCGTTTTTTCCCCCAAAAAATATGCGATTCTGAAAAATATTTGATGGCAATTAGTGCCATCAAGGTACGTTAAATATCACTTTATCTCTCTCTCTCTCTCTCTCTCTCTCTCTCTCACACACACACACACACACACACACACACACACACACACACACAAAAGAAGTCCTGCTAAAAATCCTTCCTCCCAAAGTGAGAATGATAGGGATGAAAGAGACCTTAAAGTGTTCAAGTCCAACCCCACAGCCCAAGGCTTACCATCTTGGACAATGGATGTTCAAGTCCTTTCTTTAAAACCTCCAGGGATGGAGCACCCATAACTCCGGGAAGCAAGCTGTCCCATTGCTTACTATCAGAACTGTCCTTATTTCCACATTGGATCTTGCTCTGACAAGCTTCTACCCAAATGCTTCTTGTCCTACCTTTAGGTGCTATGGACTAATTGATCGGTGCCCTCTCCCTGTGGCAGCCTTTCAAATATTGGATGTGGAGCAGTTAGCATGTCTTCTCTTGTACCATGAGTACAGAGCTGTTTTCACATTAGAAATTGTGTCCTTCATTCCTTGCAACATACACCATTAACTTTTGCAGCATTTTCACATCATTTTTTCCCATCCTTAATAAGCGCTTTGCTGTAATGTTTTGCTTTTTATATGTGGCTTACAGTTGCATTTCTTTCAATCATCATTGCTCAGGGTAACATCCTCTGGGATTTATAAAATTGCACAGGTTGCAATAGAACCATAGCACTAAGTATATGCTGTATGTGCATGTTGAATTTATCTATTACAATTACTTCACAAGTGGTTTCATTGGAATGCATATATTGAAATATCCATGATCCAATAGAATTCAAAAATCATAAAGTAGGACATTTTAAAAATGTCAAATTTCAAATGTCCTCTGGAAAAGTCTGTCTTCCAGAAAGCAGCTAAACTCAGGCTAAAATGACTTCAAGTGAGAGGCCATTCCAGAGAACTGGAACTAATATAGAAAAGAGACATCTTCTGTGCTTCAATATCCCTACTTCCCCAAAGTGGCAAACCATCACTTGTTTTTCATGATAAGATCAAATAGGTTTGACCAATTCTATTGGATGATTGCAGTTGTGAAGAAAAGTTGGTGCCAAGTTGTAAGAGTTTTAAGATCATAGAATAACCCAAAGCACATAGAAAGAAGTTTCTGGTAGAAAGAAGTTCCCTGAGGATGGGCTCCAAGCATGAGTCCAAAAGCTCTGATCCCAGTGACTGCCCCAAATAAAAGTGCTGCATAAAAGTGTTGATTAACACCAGCATTCCAAAGTCTCCATGAAGCCAGTCCAGGGCGCATAGCACAAGAGTAATGGGCTTCCATTGATGAACATACGCAGGCCAATGCAGTTTGGACCAATGTGGCTTTAAAGGCATCCCCTTTGTAGAGTGCATTTCAGTAATAGTTAATGATGAAGGCATGAGTAACTAGCCAAACCCTCTCATGATACATAGGGCCAACTAGTGAATTATGTGCAACACTGTAAAGGCTCTCACCATACCTCCCATCTGCTGTTGAAGAAGGAGCAGCAACTCCAAATCGTGGTGTCAGCCTTTGGGCTAGTGCTTCTCCACCACGAGACAACATTGGAGCCATCCAGACATCCTAATATACAAATAGTAAACACTGTCCTGATGGATTTTGTCTCATCCAGACCTTCAGCCTCTAGACTAGACACCAAATCAAGACTTCAGTAGCCTAGCCAGTTTAGCTCAGGATACACATGTAAAGCTGAATATTATGAACAGATAGATTATACTGCATCCTGAACTGATGTCTCAAAAGTGCTTTTTCAAAAGGCAACTGGACTTTGTTTTTCCTTGAAGACGTTTCGTTTCTCATCCAAGATAATCATCCAATGAAGCTTCTTGGATGAGAAATGAAACATCTTCAAGAAAAAAACAAAGAAAGTCGAGTTGCTTTTTGAAAAAACACCTTTGAGACAACCATGACCTGGATGACTGAGAATCTCCAGAGATCTTGAGCTGATGGATAACCTCACTCAGTTGTTTCATAAGTAGAATGGAGAGAACCAACCTGTGCAGTACACCTGAAGGCAACAGCCACTTAGCCAACCACTCTTCTACTACTACCATCTAGAACTCTGAGGAAGAAGCCATTCCAAAATAGTGTCCCCAATCCCAAACTCTTGAGAATCAATCCAGAGTATAATAATCAATGCTACTGGAAACTGTAAGAAGTCTAAAAGGATTAAGAGAAGTGATGTCAATGAAGATCATCTGCTAGCAAGACTGAACTTTCTCTTGTCCCATGTCCAGGTTGGAATCCTGACTTAGAAGGCCCAGATAATCAATTTGTCAAATCTGAAGCTGACCTGCCTCAGAATTCTCATTGCTAGGGATGTACTGTATTACTTGGAACCTTGACACCATTTCATCGACCGTATGGCATTATAGTATATGGTGCATGCTATTTGTCCCCTTTTTTCAAAATAAGTTGCCTGTTTTTGCTCTGCAGGAATGGTTTGTCCTAAGTCCTTTTATGAGTGCAATAAAGAGGACTGGTGTTCATATTTTCACCAATGAGTTTTAAGACTATGCTTGTTGATTTTTTAATGATTACTTTTCTTGAGTTTTTTTTTAATATAGGGATAAGTTGTCCACAGAAATACAATACTAGATCTGACCTCCTTTACTACACTGTCTGCCACATATGCAAGAAATCTTTCTTAAATGATCTAATTGCTAGATTCCAGCACTGAGCAAATATCTGGATTACCACAGCTTTAATATTCAATGGCTCTATAATTCTCCTCATTAAAACCTGCCAGACTCCAAACTTTCAAAATAAGAGTTGATCACCAGTGCATTCCCACATAATAACTGTGGAGAAGGAACAAAATGAGAACCTGATTCAAGTAGATGATCAGGATTACCAACTGATTTTGACCATACCATGCAATGTATGGGAAACTTCATATACAGGTGAAACTCGAAAAATTAGAATATCGTGCAAAAGTTCATTTATTTCAGTAACACAACTTAAAAGGTGAACCTAATTTATGAGATAGACTCATTACATGCAAAGATAGTTCAAACCATGATTTGTCATAATTGTGATGATCATGGCTTACAGCTCATGAAAACCCCAAATCCACAATCTCAGAAAATTAGAATATTGTGAAAAGGTTCAATATTCTAGGCTCAAAGTGTCCCACTCTAATCAGCTAATTAAGCCATAACACCTGCAAAGGGTCCCTGAGCCTTTAAATGGTCTCTCAGTCTGGTTCAGTAGGAATCACAATCATGGGAAAGACTGCTGACCTGACAGTTGTGCAGAAAACCATCCTTGACACTCTCCATAAGGAGGGAAAGCCTCAAAAGGTAATTGCAAAAGAAGTTGGATGTTCCCAAAGTGCTGTATCAAAGCACATTAATAGAAAGTTATGTGGGAGGGAAAAGTGTGGAAGAAAAAGGTGCATAAGCAGCAGGGATGACTGCAGCCTGGAGAGGATTGTCAGGAAAAGGCCATTCAAAAGTGTTGGGGACTTTCACAAGGAGTGGACTGAGGCTGGAGTCAGTGCATCAAGAGCTACCACACACAGATGGATCCTGGACATGGGCTTCAAATGTCGTATTCTTCTTGTCAAGCCACTCCTGAACAACAAACAATGTCAGAAGCGTCTTACCTGGGCTAAAGAAAAACAGACCTAGTCTGTTGCTCAGTGGTCCAAAGTCCTCTTTTCTGGTGGGAGCAAGTTTTGCATCTCATTTGGAAACCAAGGACCGAGAGTCTGGAGGAAGAATGGAGAGGCACACACTGCAAGAGGATTGAAGTCCAGTGTGAAGTTTCCACAGTCTGTGTTGATTTGGGGAGCCATGTCATCTGCTGGTGTTGGTCCACTGTGCTTAATTAAGTCCACACAGCCGTCTACCAGATTTTGGAGCACCTCATGCTTCCTTCCACAGACGAGCTTTATGGGGATGCTAACTTCAGTTTCCAGCAGGACTTGGCACCTGTCCACACTGCCAAAAGCACTAAAACCTGGTTCAATGACCGTGGGATTACTGTGCGTGATTGGCCAGCAAATTTGCCTGACCTGAACCCCATAGAGAATGTATGGGGCATTGCCAAGAGAAAGATGCGAGACATGAGACTGAACAATGCAGAAGAGCTGAAGGCCACTTTTGGAATATCCTGGCCTTCCATAACACCTCAGCAGTGCCACAGGCTGATAGCTTCCATGCCACGCCACATTGAGGCAGTAATTGCTGCAAAAAGGGCCCAAACCAAGTACTGAGTACATATGCATGCTTCTACTTTTCAGAGGTCCAATATTGTTCTATGTACAATCCTTGTTTTATTGGTTGCATGTAATAGTCTAATTTTCTGAGATTGTAGATTTGGGGTTTCCATGAGCTGTAAGCCATAATCATCACAATTATGACAACTCACGCTTGAACTATCTTGCTTTGCATGTAATGAGTCCATC